TACTTCAACAAAATTACTAAGCTCTTATATTTTTACTACACAAAGAATTCTTGGCAAACAAATAGTTAGCAGCTGGTGACATTTTCTGGCATGTAGCTGTCAACTTTGACAGAAGGTAATGTGTTTGCTAACCACAACAAAACTATGCACATTCCTCATAAATTGTTAGCTGCTTGCTAAATGCTTGTTAAACAATTAAACAGACAGTTAAGTTAACCTTGCTTAGAAATATAAAAAGTGGCTGTCAATGTTAACATGACAGATGACAGCAGGCAACAACAGAGACCATATTTCTACTGCCAAACAGTATACTAAAAACGTAATGCTTGTTAAATATTAACAGGCTGTCAACGTGAAATAGCCTCAGCAAGACATAAAGACCTATTCCATTTGACAGTTGTGTAAGGGACAGGGAGCTCATTTCAGATTTCTTTTATATTTTAAAGGATTTGTCCCACAAATTTAACCAATAACTAAACAACTTTGCCCCACTGTACGAGCTACTAATTGAATACGACTAAGCTACAAACGAGACCGCAAATAAAACAGAATCGTCTTTAGCCACAGACCGAAGTCAGGCAGGAGTTCAGGCCAATCTTAGATCCAGCGGCAGGTTTGAGGAGAGGGCGTAAATGGCCAACAAGGTGACAATGCAGATATAATGCCATACGCGTCCAACATGTCGGGACTCGAATGTCGATGACGACGACAACAGCAACAGCAACAACAATTGACGATTCGCAATTGATAATACTTAATGTGAACTGTGTCGCAGAGTCAACCTCAATGACTGATGAATGTTGAGCTGGGCCCAGGCAACAGTAAAAAAAAAAGGTGGCAACAAGCTTATCTCTGAACTTTACGCACAATATAGCAAGGCAGCCAGCTGGCAATGTTAAATGATGTCGACAGGGCGCACATATTTAATGAAGAACCTTTTAATATCTGAAAGATGAATGCCTGAAATATTTTGTTTTCATTTAATCGCACGTAAAGTAAAGACTAAAGCAATCAACAACAAGTCAAGTCAAAGCTGTGCTAAAAATTGATTAAATGTCTTTTAAGCTATCTAGATCAATGATCATGGATTGGGAAGTTAGCTAATGAATTTGATGTGATTTTTTCTGGAAGACATTGAATAAAGTATTTAATATTTCCTTGATGTAATTTACTTTACTATTTCCATGCCAACACATCTAAAAAAAATGAGACTTAAAGGTATCAGCTTTTCTGAAAGTGTATGTAACAGCCAGAAGAAGGCGTGGCTCTTAATCTGCTGCTGTGAAGCAGCCTAGAAGTCAAGCATGAAAACTCATTGATTAGATTCGACTAAAAAAGGCATAAAAATATAAAATAAATAAGGAAATACGAATTAGTTAAATTAAATTAATTAGTTAAATTAAATTATCAAATAAAATATTTGCAAATTAATTTAACATATATATGTACATGCAACATTATTAACCCGGATTCAAGTTATCATAAATATGCCAAAATGTCAACGTTTCTAATAGGGCATATCAATTTGCTTGAAAGCTAGAGAAAAACTTTGATCTATCAGCCAAATGGTGGAGCTTTTTCTATCAGCTCAGTGCAAGCAAAGTTAAGCACAGTAAAAACCACTGCAGCAGCACATGTAAAACTCATGTAAAAAGTTAATGGAAAAGTGGCACAAAGTGTGAGCAAACAAATGTAGCAGAGCTGCTTTGCTAGCAACGCGAACGAAGCGCTGGTGTCATAAGAGGAAGCTTCCTCGAAGGTTGGCAATGGCAGCGCCACCCGCATCTTTGGTACAAGTTTTGCACCGTTGACATTTGTTAATTGTCAGCTTGGAGGTTTTCGGCTAGCAAACATGCAGTTGGCCAAAAGCCAACACGGCCAACACGACCCGAAACGATAAATCGGTGAGCCGTAAAAGCAAAAAAATCGCAAACTGCTAACAATTTAATTAACTTTTTGGTGCGCAATTTGTGCTGGCACTTAAAGTAGTTTTCGGCCAGGCTTGTTGACTTGTCTTGTTTTTACCTTTTACTGCTGCTAATTACGCAAATGTTTTAACTTTAAAATGGCGACGGCTTTTCACGCTCGCTGCATGCGCGATATACAGCGACAACAACTGCAACACCCTGTGTCACCCCGGCCACGCCCACACGCCACCAACGGCCCGATCCACCTCCAAACGACTTTGCACTTTGTTTTCTCTGTTTAACTTTTGTTCATAGCTCGCTGACTTTTGCTGATTGTGCAACAGTGGAAAGAACCCAGCGTCAAACTGTAACAAGGTGTAGTTGTTGTTGCATGCAACCTATGCATGTATGTGTGTATGCTGCAGATCCATCCCTGCCATGCCTCAGCCAACCCACCCCCCACTCATCACATTTGCACCTGCAATTCATTTCGTATATTTTTGTTAGTTTTGAACATTAAAATCTGTACTCAGCGCAAGGTTATGTATAATGGGCGCATACGTAATATTTTATGTTCAACAGTGCGTGTGCTTGTTAACCGAGTGTTTAACTGTAATGAGCAAGCGGCTTCATAGGTCTAATGAAGTTGCATCTTTTCATACAAGAGAACATTGCCCAAGTGTCAGCAGTCCAACAATTCAATCTAAGAAATATACAGAAATATTTTAAATATATTTTTTGAATATTTTAAAATTTTCAACACTCTCTGCTGAGATAGAGGTTTTCAATTATTTTTTCGATATTTGAATCGAGTAGATTTTTGGCTCCCAAATGCATTTTATGGCCAAAGCAAACAACAAAACAAGAAGCTAAGACCCGTCCTTAGATTTACACATACACACACCTGACAGGTGCACACATGCACACGTACACATTTGGCAGCTGCTGTCAGTCAATTTCCATTAAGGCAACACCTTATTGAATTTTATTGTAAATTGAAAAAAAAGCTGCTGCAAACTGCAAAATGTCGAAGCAAAGGCACGGATGAAATTTTCTTAAAAAAATAAAGTGAGATTTGCTAGCAAATTGAACGGATAAACAGGAAAACTACGTTTATATATATAGATATATATGTACATGTGTAACATAAGAGGGAGCTTGAGTGTTAGGAGCCGTAAATATTTGTAATTAATTTGCATAACTGGCCAACGATTGTGTAATTTGTATGTCACATAAATTATCACGCAATGAAAATAGTTTTCAAATATGCAGACAGCCGGCGCACAGGGTGTTTCGGGTGCAAACGTACGCAACTATCGATAAATTATAAAGTCGTTGACAACGCCACCCCCTTGACACAGACACTAGCCAAACAGGAAACGGCAAACTGACTAATTTTTGGTCTCCCCACCGTATTAGGTGCTTTGCCAGGACCGCAAATTTTATGCACGTTATAAATCACGACAACGGCAACGACGACGACGCCGACGTCGACGACGACTGTGAAAATGTTCACATTAATTGTTGCAACGTCATTTTCGGGCCTATTGTGTCGGTTAGTTCGGCTGGGGTCGGCCCTCGGCAAGGCTAATAAAAGGCGTTCACTCTATATATGTGCTCCAGACGCCTTTGTGTCACGTGGCAATTTCGCAAAAGGAATTTCAACAATGTAGACGTTTTTACAACAGTTTGGGGCCAACGGCAGTAGCAGCAGTTTCGCTAAAAAAATAAAGAGCTCCCAACTATTTTTTTCTTTTTGTGCTGCTTGCTCATAGGCAAATGTGTGCGTTTTTTTTTTTGTAGAGACGATGGCAATGAAACATGACTGTTTAGTGGCTGGATTTGGGATTTGTCAAAGGCGCGCACACAATGCCGTGCAAAGTCCGCCGCGACTGGGCAATTTTCATAATTTTACATTTGCGACCCTGCGACAAGGGCATATGAGGGAGCGTCTGGCTGAGCTTCAAACGACAATTCAATTCATGACTGAAATCTCGATAGTTATTTAAAGTACTGAACTATTCAGACCATCACTAATTAAACTGCACTTGCACATCTCTAAATCGTATTTAAAATAGGCAACTTAAGTTTGATTTGCTTACTACGCATTATTTGCACGCTACACACACTTATGTAAATGTAAAATATGCGTATGCGTGTGTGGTTGGAGGCGCACATAAAATGCAGGCAAAAACACTCCAAAGGCAAAAGTTATGCACAAAGACAAAAACAGCAAAAGGGCGTCGTTAATATTTCAGAAACAGAAACAGCCAAACAGAACGGAGCACAAATATACAAATGCACGCATATACAAACATAGAGAGACATAACATAAGCATACCGGCAAATTACAATAACAGCAACAACAACAACGATAGCAAAAACACTTTACACAATTGCACGTGTCCATTCTTGACTTGTGCTATGCGAAAATATTAAAAGGCATATTTGTCGCTTGGTCAGCAACAAGACAATAGACGAAACAAGGGGCACAGTAGAAGTGGCAACCAGCAGCAAATGAGACAAACGGAAGATGCTCGTTGCACGTAATTTATGGCCAGAGCCAATGTGAGGAGGTTAGGTTACATTCAACCTGAGCGCCGCACGCACATTTGCAACGGCTCTGTCTGCATGTGCGTAGAAGGGCGCCGACACTGCAAATTAATTGTGGACAGCGCTCTGCAGTGGCTGCTTGTGGAGCTTAAGCGATCATTAATCACCTGCTTGGTCAAAGTTCAAAGGATGTCGCCAACTTCCTACATACGCTTCAATTAGCAACTTACAGATATTTGCACTTACCTCTTGTTTTGCTCTCGCTCACTTTTTATATCAAAAAAACTATTATAGGCATTCATTTTAATTATGTAAATATATACATATATATATATTTACAAGGAAATTATTTCACAATTTTTCTTAAGCGAACACAAGTTTTAAAAATTGCCCGCACACAGAAGCAACGAAAAAGTGTTGCCCATCAATAGTCATTAGTGCTGCCACCCAGTTGTAATAACTTGATAGCGCTGCCAGATAAATGTTGTAAATTTAAGCGTAAAACAATTCTTTTACATGCCGCCAAATTCAACCGAATGGTTTTTATCAAAGCAAATTGTTTATTAGATTATTGTTCATAGAAACAGCCTTAGGATCCCCACCACCTGGATGAGTATTAAAAAAAGATGGTCACCATCAATTTATTTGGATTTCAATGGAAACGGTGCCACCCAGCCGCCAAATGCACGCTCCAGCTCCTCGGCCACAGCCAAACAAAGGCGGTCGTTATTGTGATTGGATACGACCTGAATACCCAGTGGCATGCCTTGACTATCCAGTCCCATGGGTACCTGTGTCGCCGGTAGTCCGAGCACATTGAATAGACTAAAGTAGCTAAAGTCCAGAAACTTAAACAAAGGATAGTAATGGAATGGGGCTGTACGTGGAGAGCTGTGGAAAATCAGCACTCCATTCTCTCCCAGCAGCTCTTGCAGAGCTGCCTTGCACTTCTTGGTGGCCGAGCGTATTAACTTTTCATTCTCCTTGGGCAGCAGGCTATCAATTAGCGAGTAAATGGCCGCCATGCTGTACTCGCTCTTACCCAACAACTTTTTAAATAGCTCCACAAACGGATTCAGTTGGACGCCGTTGCCCAGGAGATGATTAAAGCTGGCCGGTTCTTGGGTCATCCAGTAACGCCACATTTTGCCTGTCAGCTGCGTTTCCGGCAGCTTGGCCAGATGCACCTCTTGACCACTCAGCTGCTCCAGATGTTTGCGCACATTATACATGACTCGCTCGGTCTCTTGATTAATGGGATTACACTGGCGCATTCCCAGACTAGGTACATAGAAGTACCTTAATTGCTTCACATCTACCTTCTTATCCAGTTGGAGTACATTCTGCAGCGATGGCTCCACCAGGACCTTCATAATGGGTCGCAAATCGGTAGCAAATCGTGCCATGGGGCCTGCGCAGACCATCGTGTTGAGCTCCTTGCCAGTGCGAAAGGTGCAGCCGGCCATGTTGATGGCACCCGAGGTGGGCTTGTGACCAAAGACGCCACAATTGAATGCAGGAATACGTATGGACCCACCGATATCAGTGCCTAGTCCAAAGCCTGTGCAGCAGGCCGTAATTAAAGCACCCTCGCCGCCTGAGGAGCCGCCCACTGACCGTCTCAAGTCGTACGGATTATTGGTGCCACCAATGAGCATATTACGTGACTCAATCCATTTGTTCACTTCCGGCACATTGGACGTGGCAATGATAATTGCACCGCTCTTCTTCATCAGACGCACGCACTCCGCATCCTCTTTAGATCTCATATCCTTGCGTGCCAGCAGGCCCAATGTGAGCAGCTTGCCAGCCACCGACGTGCTGTCCTTGGTGGTAAAGGGCACGCCCAGAAAGGGCAACGCCAACAACTCCTCATCGGTATACTGACCTGACGCTAAGCGTTCATCGATTTTGCGGGCTTCCTCTAGCGCCTCCGTGTCGAAAGGTCCATCGACAACAGCGTTCAATTCACGATTTACAATATCAATGCGTTCGCAATAAGCTTTGACGATGTCGTAACTTTTCAACTTGCCCGCGCGTATCGCTGTTGCCAACTCGACGGCGCTCTTAGTCAATATGACCTGTTGATCCACTGAGGAAATTGTTGCGACACGCTTATGGGGACCCAGATACCAGCCCAGTGCAAATTCCAAGATTCGATCGGTTATAATGTGCACCAGCGTTATCAGCGCCTCCAGTAATACCGGCCAAAATGCCATCTTCAAAGTTTGTCTTTTTATCTATATTTTTTATCTTTTTGTACGAAATGCGGCGACTTTCAAGTGACCAGATATCCAATTAGATATGTATACAATTTTAATGTTTCTACTGCTGGTGTTGCCACCTCAACAAAAATTTAAAGAAAACTGCAAAAACCTGATTGAAAAGCTGTTTTTAAATGGAACTACAGCCGTTGAGCTCGGCCGTCTACAATGTTACGATTGCATATGATAGATAAGCCTAATAGTGATCGCTTATCATTTGATCGAAGCGTTATCAGCACAATGATTTATTTTATCTATACTTTTCCTTTTTGCGCAAAACACGACAACTTTAAAGTGAACAGATGATTTCCAAAACCCAGAGGTGTGCTGCTAACGTTGCCACATCCACAAAAGTTTCAAAGCACAGTGAAGCCGAGCACGAAAAGCTGCGCTTTTAAATGTTTTAACAGTCGTTGAGACTAGGGGGTCTACAACGTAACATTTTATATTTACTTAAATAATGCTTAAAAATCAATGAGTTAACTTATCAGTTGCACTAGCTCACAAATTAAATAAAATGTAATGAAAATAAATATTAATGAATAAGTTAACTATATTAAAATAATTATTCTTATCATACATCATTTGCCTCTTCCCTGCATGACGTACACATACGATAAGTTGTGTCGTGCGTGACTACCTTTCGAGCACGAAACACACCACCACCAGTAACAGCAACAAAAATAAATATCGACCCGTCGCTGACGTTGTCGCTGCAGATGTGGAGTGGTAGTTGCTTTACCGTCGCGCTGCTAAAGCGTCGCCGATTCGCTGTCACAGTACCTGTATCGAATTTGCATTGTATGTTTAAACACAACGATTTCCAAAATAGAAAGTCAACTCATTTTAATGCAAATTCGTTTAAATTAAATGCTAAAAACTGTGTTAAATAACATTAAAGCAAAACATCGACTGCAATGACCTCTCTCATCTTTTTATTTTGCATCACACATAAAGTGCATTCGTGTGTGTGACTGTGACTGCATGTGTGCGTTTAGCTGAGAAACGCAGCAACTGTTTAAATTGCATATTAGATTCATTTATCATTCAAGGAACTGCACCCATAGTGCACTTGTCTAGATAGATCTAGGAAATCACTTGACTCAAAGCGTGCTGTCTATGATTAACTGCAATTTGTTTGCTCAGCGTGTGCTTGTGTTTTTTGTTTACTTGTCGCATACGAAAATAGAAAAGACAAAAAAAAAACCAATCGCCGCTTGCATTTTCCGTGTGTTTCGTAAGTCACTTGATAAACAAACTATCCCGCGTTGCTTTTGCTAATTTCTAATTGCAAGCTACTGCAGCGTGCAGGCTGATACGCAGTTCATTTTGTAAATAAATAAATAAAATTTATGTATATACAAATCGTAATGGAAAAAGCGTGTTAATTATATGTTTAAGCAATAGAAAATAAATGTTTATTATTTGTTACGCTGCTCACCATATGTGAAATTAGATATATAGGTATTACGCAAAAGTTAAAGTCATCATTATTTTGATTGTTATGTTATATAAGATTTTTGGTTTTAATAACTTAAAATTAATTAAAAAGTTAAATTTAATTAATTTTTTGATTATTATTTTTAGTTTTCAACGGCAAAAATTACTTTATTTGGCGAACTTTTTGTAACTATACAAAGGAAACATTGTCTAACTAAAAATAGCCAAGGTAAACGGCGAGCACGTTACTTGCTCAGGCTTTCCTTAAGCAAAACAAGCAAGCTGCACACCTGGCTTATGTGTACTGAATATTCGGAGTAAAATGCCGCAGTTAGAGTATCATTCAGTCTGTTTATTTATCAAGTAGCACACGCGCGAGCTGCGTACCTGCCCCATATATACACTGCATATCGCATTGGGGCATACTGTATTATACGTCTTGCCAATGATAACAAATACTGTAATCATTTTTATTGCTGTTTCATTCGCACGTGATAGTCCATTACGAGCTTACTAGAAACTTGATGGTGATGCATAGCCGTCGTATTCGATTGCCGCCTGATTGCTCAAAAGCCGGTATGGCAAAAGACTATCTAGAATCGAACTAGGCCGATAAGAAAGCAGTAAACGAAATCGTGTATAGAAGAGAGGGCGTGTGCCAGCTGTGTGTTTAGGCCAAAGCAGTCAATAGCTACGCAAACCATACGACAAAATACACTGGAAAGAGCTCAAATTATACTCCAAATAAACATATATATACATAAATTCATGAACACATATATATTTATATATACACATATTACACATTTTACAGTTAAAAGTCAAGCGTTCCATGGAAATGAAGTCAACCAGCCAGGTAAAAAGAGCGACGGCCGCGTCTAGCGATGAATCACCGGCATCGGCATCGGCTGAGACAGCCGCTGCATACATGCGACAATTTAAAAATATTATAGCACCGGGAAATGAGGCATCTATGACCCGGGAGTTCAAGCCACAAGTGGCCTATGAGTTTGAACGCTACCTAAATCCCCAAAAGCTCAAACAGCATGTGCTACGCAGTGAAAAGCTGCGTTCATTGCTGGAACACTATGCGAGACAGACGGAGCAGCCGATCAAGCAGCTAGAGCAGCAAGCACGTGCGATTATCGATGAGATCGGACTGGATCGAAATATGGCCATAATACGTTGGTGTGGCATTGCGATAACAGCAATAGGTAAACGCATCTGTGATGGGTTTTATGTCAATTCGGCCAGTATGGCCAATGTGCGGAAGGATATGGGTCAGTGTCCGGTGCTGTATTTGCCCAGCCATCGCAGCTATATGGATTTCATACTGATGAGCTATATATGTTATTACTATGATATCGAAATACCAGGAATAGCAGCCGGAATGGGTGAGTTCGAATCGAATATCCATTCAATATATACCCTTTATTTGCTTGCTTAATCATCAATAGATTTTCACTCCATGTTCGGCATGGGCACAATGCTGCGGAAGACGGGCGCCTTCTTCATGCGTCGCAGCTTCTCCAACGATGAGCTTTACTGGGACATCTTTCGCGAGTATATGTACGCCCTGGTCGCCAATTATCACATTGGCGTAGAGTTCTTTATAGAGGGCACACGGTCCCGAAATTTTAAAGCTTTGGTGCCCAAGGTGGGTCTGTTGTCAATGGCTTTGTTGCCTTATTTTACGGGCGAGGTGCCGGATGTGATGATTGTGCCTGTTAGCGTGGCTTATGAACGTGTACTAGAGGAGCAGCTGTTTGTCTATGAACTGCTGGGCGTGCCCAAACCCAAGGAGTCTACCAAGGGTTTCTTCAAGGCTCTGAAAATCATCGACGAACGATTTGGCAAAATGTTTCTGGACTTCGGTGCCCCAATTTCAGTGCGTGAATTCTTTGGCCATGATAGCACGCAGCGCATGCAACGCTCCGGACTTGGTGGATCCCTGCAGAAGCTCAATCGTCAGGAGATCGAGTTGGTGAAACAGCTGGCTAACGAGATAATCTACCAGCAACAACGACGCATTGTCATCACCACATTTAATTTGCTAAGTCTATATTATGCCAGCAAGCTATATGGACAGTGCAGCGTCAATCTGGATGAACTCTCCCGAGGTATTCTTCATTTAAAGCGAATATTTGAGAAGCTTGGCGCTCATGTCAGCACCAGCACGAACAGCATCAAGGCGGACGTCATTGATGCTATCGAAATTCATAGCAACATTTTGCAATTTCGTGTAGCCAAACTTCAATTCACGCCAGTAGCTGCAGAGCAGCTGGCGGCACAGATCGATGTCAAACGGCTGAAGGCCCATGCATTGTGTCCACAAACGATGGCGGTAGCTGTGCCGATGCTTGCGCTGCAACTCTACATAAATCCGTGCCTGTTTTGGCTGGCTCGACCCGCCTATCTGCTGCTTGCAGCGCTCAAGGAGCAGCGGCGTCAGCAGCAACTGGACAACATGAGCACGTACCAAGAGACACGAGCTGCACTGCACAATCATGTGAGCAGCATGGATGCACTGTTTCAGCATGAGTTCATCGTCGAATCGAATCGCGAGGCGGTCGAGTTTGAAACGCATTTGCAGTTGCTGATTGAGGAGCGTGCTGTGCAGCTACACGAACACACGGGCAGAATTAGTGTACAGGATAATGAATGCACCAGGGTCATACTGGCTGCACTGGCTCCATTTCTCTGTCTCTATTATCAACTGGCGGTGACGCTGCGACAGGTGAGTAAACTGTTACAGAGAAAATGAAATATGTTAACTATTATCTTGGGTTTTTCATTATATAGATGTCTGGCGAATTCAACTCGAAGGATCTGTTGGTTCGCGTGCAAGAGCATGTGGAACAGCTGCTGCAGCAACCAGGCGGCACCGCCTCACATGTCCATCCCTATTGTCTGGCCCTGGACAATCTGAACATTGCCATCTATGCACTAATACAGTCCGGTTATCTGCATAAGTCCCGAGAAACGGGCCTGATGAGCATCGCTGCAGCAACACCGATGAAGTGCCTCAGACAACTAGAGCTGCAGCTGCTGGAGTATTGCCAGCTAATGCCATTTACCCAATACTCGATGGCTGCCAACGAGCAGGCGCAATCGCATATGGCCAAATTATAACTGACAAATGGCAAGCGGTTGGCGACTGCCTCCACGCCGCTGCCTACAACGATGTCCTTGACCCAGGATCATAGTACAATATCACAATTCATTCAATCCATTGTCGGCCTGCTCAAGAATTGTCGCATCATCTGCATACTCTTAGTTTTTGTGCTCGTCGCACCCATTTGGCAATTTCTACTGTGGCTGTTAGCAACTTTCTGCTCAGTCGCGTAGTCAGTGTACTCAAGTGTGTGTGTGTATGTAAGTAAGAGTGCGAGTGTGCGTGTGTGGAAAATATATGGGAATATAGCATTTGTGTATACGAGGGTATTTTGTTTAGTCCTTTAAGCATTTATTATAATTCATAATGTTTAGTTTTAAATTGTTGCCATACAAAAAATGATTTACTGCTTACATTGTCCAAGGAAGACATGGTTTTTTCATAAAGCTAGAGATCCCAACGAGAGCAAACATTTAATTATGCACGGAGATCCATTCAAAGTTTATGTATTAGTTCCTAACTTCCCTTTTATTTTAACAACCATTTAACTAATTTGTAGACTTCGATGCATTCCTCGTACACCTTTGTAAATGAATTTATTGTATGTTAATGTTATGTTATATGTTTCATTTGTGTAGTTTTAAGTTATTTACATGTATGTTTATATCTAATAGCCGGGTTTTCTACTTTAAGCAACCAAATGTTCAACTAATGTAAAGTTATGTCAATGTTTGTGTTTGTCGTTGCATCCAATTAGCTTATTATAATTCAAGTCAAGTCATTTAAGCTAAGTTTAACAATGTGAGCTTAACCTTAAATGCAATGTTAGCAAGAGCATGAACTGTTATTTAACATGTGATTTTTATTGCTAACAGAACATATATATGTTACTAACAACGCACTAAAATCTTGCTATACTCAGCACTACATAGCTATGTTAACAGCGATTTTAATGTTCGCTTTAGTCCTAATATTGATGCGATTATCTGGCACCTGACAGCTTAGCATAATTTTTAATTGAAATCTTAACTATGTTAATGATGGCTGCCGCATGGTGTAACAGTTGGTTATATAGTTTTGATAACAGTTTTTGACAGGTCTAACACACATAGAAAATTTTACTTAAGATAAGTTCCATTTATTATATGCACAAAGGTATACAACCATTATAAAACATATAAGCTGTTTATTTTGTCAGTTATTTATTCAATGGAGAAGTATTTATAATTTGCCATGGCCTCTCCTTTCTTGTTTTTAGAATATTAAATTCCCAAAGGTATTTTCTGTCATGGAGCATAAAAGTGCCAATTGAAATGCACTTTTAATAAGCAAATGAATTCTAGTTTATATTCTCTGTAGAGCTGGCATGTATATGTCTATATATATATATATATATATATATATATATATATATATATATATATATATATATATATATATATATATATATATATATATATTTATATATATATAGTTTGATATATTCTCAATATTTTTATAATGTATAGGAATTTCCTGAAAAATAAAACCGAAACAAACAAAATAAAACAAACGTGAGCAACCGTAGCACAAATACAAGTCTAGCAACAAAAAGTGCAATATTTTGTTCTTTGTTTAAACATTAAAAAAAACAATATATTTTTGTGGTATAAGTGTTTTGTAGCTAATTTTTATATATAAAAATGTATATTATAGAAACCGAACACCAATACACTAATTTATACACTACATTAATAGCAAAAATAACATATATTAAATTGGTGCTAGTTGCGCCCTTGCAAAATATTATATAAAAATAAAAACCAAACTGAAATTAAGAATAAATATATTTATTCCCATTTTAGGCAAGAGAGGATACTTTTCTTTAGCTAGCAAAATTCGCGCATGAATTGGTCTAAGGTGCACTGGCTAATGACGACCTGCATGAGGATCTTTTCCGCATTCTGCTCATCCGCTTTGGTTTCCACAACGGCAGCATTTTTATAGAGCCAAGCCATCTCCGGCCCACCACTGGGCACACGCACCTGCAATTTACGCCGTCCGGTCACGGCCAAAACTTTCTGTTCTACATCCTTAAGCAGCGAATGCAGGCCGGTGTGATTGCGCGCCGAGGTTAAGTGACCAATATTCGTGTTCTCATGTTGGGTTAGTACAGCTATCTGAGCATTCGGCTTAAGCAAATCACTTTTGTTAAAAACATTAACGATCGGAGGCAATTCTCCGCTATTCGCATTGTCGCCGGATACGCTCAATGCCAAGGCTCGCAGTGTGGACTCCACATGGGCCCGTTGGGCCGCATGACAGGGATGTGACAGGTCCTGCACATGTATAATGATATCCTAAAAGAAAAACTGATTACCAGATGTATTTATACTAACAAAATTGTATAGTTACCGCAAGCATTGCATCCTCTAATGTGGCCACGAAACATTCAAATAATCCCGTCGGCAAATCGGACATAAAGCCCACAGTGTCCATATAGATGATCTGCAGATTGCAGGGCAGATAGCCGGCATGCGCCGTCACATCCAGTGTGGCAAATAGCTGATTGCGTGGCTGCAATGCATCCTCTTTGGTGAGCGCCTTTATCAATGAAGTCTTCCCCGCATTTGTATAGCCAACAACCGCTGCAGTAGGATAGTTTAATTGTTTGCGTTTTTGGCGCCGAAGCTGCCGCTGACGGCGAACGTCTTCTAGTTCCGCACGCAATTTGCGCTCCCTGGAGCGCAGTATTTCCTTCTGCATATCACTTAGAGAGTAGCCCTGACGTCGGATCTGTGTGACACTGGCATCCTTGGCCTGCGCCCATATATAAGGCAACTCTGCCATAGCCACCTGTAGACGGGCCTCCGAGCTGGTCGCATGCAGACGCAGGATCTGTATGACCAACGAGTAGCGATCTAGCACGGGCAGTTGAAACTCGGCCTCGAGGAATTGTTTTTGAGCAAACGAGAGCGTGCCCTTGCTGACAAATAAGCAGCTGACCTGCCGTTCTTGACGTAGTTGCGTAAGCAGTTGCTTAATCTCTGCTAGTTTGCCGCTACCAAAGAGCGTTGTACGCTCCAGACTTTCCAGTGGCACCTTGAGGGATCGAGCCACCTGCCAGTTAGGCAATGAGTGGACAAGCGCTGTCGCCTCAGCTAACTGATCATCAGGCGTCACATTGTTGGGCGTAGTGCGCTTGGCGGACCACTTGATATAAGGTTGCAGGATAAATACGTGCTGGGATATGGCCACATCACGCCTGATGCGCATGGCTCCCCCTACGACTTCATCATATGCACTGTAAAACCATACTTTAATATGAGATTAAGTCATATAGTTCACTGTGACCCACCGATCATCCAAAAACCCCATGCCCCCTGTATTCACAACAGTAGGTTCATTTTGCTCGCGCATACCCGCCTGTATTTGAGCCTCGTAGAAACTCTTGCGCTTACGTATTCCCTTGACTCCTTGATGCTGTGTGTACCGTGAACGCGTTGGTGGTATAAGAAGTGTTGATGTACGCAGTTGGGTGACGCGCAGCAACGGACGCAGACTTTTCATGACTTAAACTATAAATTTTTGATATATTTTTTTGTTAGTAGGTTTCTTCTTTGAGCACCGTGTGTTTGTCCTCAAATGCCATCCAAGCAGCTTGACAGGATTTGGTGCGTGTACTTGTGGTTTGATATGCCACGCCCGTTGCTACCAATGAGGAAAATAGTACGTTATACTTAGCTGGATAGCGTAATTTGCTTTGAACTGCCTTTTGAACGAAGTAGGTCCCTGCAAATCCTTTAAAAATTATAAATATTATGCAATTATTTTGACAATACATGAAATGCCTACCTAAGCAAAACGATGCCAAGCCCGTAAAGAGAGCTCGGGTCATGCAATCCAAATAACCGTCGAAGCCGGGATGTTTCTCGCGTTGCTGTTCCTTCAAACGCTTTATATCGTTCATAATAGTTATTTATTTGTGCTTCAATTGGATTTCAATCTGTTAAAATAGACCCACCGGCTGTATTTTGTTATGTTGAGCTATACTTTCAATGGGCAACACTATTTGCACGATCTGGCAATATTACAGCCTGCACCTTATCAGCGTAAATATGATAAAATTATAATAAATGATTAATATTTTATGCTGAAAGTGGAAAAACTCTGATTAAAATAATAAACGCTTTGGTTATACAATCTGGTTGATCATTTTTCTAAGTCCACATTTAATTTCGATTTTTGCATGACATACACATGTACGACTCAGTTCAATAAAGTATACGAATGACAGCACCTTCTAATATTAATGTCAACCAATCTGGCAACGACATTAAATGTAGTTCTTGTTTGTAGCGTTTTCTCACGACTGCTGCAAAATGGATGTGGAGAAGATTTGTCGCACTTGCCTAAGTCTCTCAGGTCCATTTTTGTCCATCTACGATGGTGGTCCTGGCAGCTGCTTGGTCGATATGTTGCGGGAATTCACGCGCACTAAGGTATGGTGAAACAAAGCAAACGTCTCAAGCTCAGTTTCTGTTTCTCCCCTTGACAGCCGCGACGCGAGGATAATTTGCCAGCCAGGGTTTGCCTTAGCTGCATCAGCGAAATAAACCATTGTTACTCATTTAAACTGAAATGTGAGAGCTCTAATCGTACGCTGCGACAGCTGCTGCCTAATGCACTGCCCGAGGAGTCCGATCAACTGGTCCCACTTCCGACTAGAGTAGCAGTCTCCACATCCGACAGCTCATCGCAAACGTATGTAACGGCAACAGTCAGCAGTGAGGCACAAACGGATGAAGTACCAAAAACAGATGCGGAGCAAAATACAAGTAATGAAGAGCACCAACAGCCGGAGACAACGCCTGTAATGGAGGAGGACGAGGAACAGGAGGGTCAGGAGGAGGAAGAATATGATTACGAATTTACCGAGGAGCAAGAAACAGATGACACACCGACCAAGGCCAGCGCTGGAAATATAATATTGCACGTGGAAAAAGACAACATCAAGTTCGAGACGGAAATGGTATACAATAAGAATACGGGAGAGTTGCTTGAACAGTCTATGGAAACTATTGCCAAACAGAAGGAATACAAATATCGGCTTGTTAGCAATGGTAATGGTGATACATACATCTCACGAGAGCCAGTTTCGAAAGAGAAGCAATCGACTCAGCAGGACTCAGAATCAACGTCCACGCGCACTCAGCTGGAGGAGCAGCTGGATGCAAAGAAATCAAAGCCTACACCCGCAGCCGACGTCGATGAGCTAAAGGCGAAGTTCCATTGTGATCGTTGTAATGCGGGCTTTGCGTTGGAAAAATCCTTGATCATACATCGAAGGCAGAACAGCTGTACCCATCGCAACTTCAAGTGCAATGAATGCGAGCGAGTGTTCGTCTCGCTTGATCATCTAACCGAGCATCAGGCCACGCATGGCGCGTTCATATGCCAGGAGTGCGGCTTGCGCTGTGAGTCCATGGAACAGTTGGGCAGGCACATGGTGCAGACACACAAACGGAATCTACGCAATCAGTGCAATGTGTGTCAGAAGGGTAAGTGGATGAACCAGATGACAAAATGTTGAAAACTGGTAAATTGATAAACTTGCTCTTTTCATTCCAGTTTTCACTATGCTGTCTACGTTGCGAGATCACATGCGCATTCATACCGGCGAGAAACCATTTGTGTGCAATGTCTGTGGTAAGGGCTTCACACAAAATGCGAATCTGCGACAGCACAAGATGCGACACTCGGACATAAAGCGATTTAAGTGTACTCTGTGCGATCATTCCTTTGTAACCAAAGCGGAGCTAACTTCTCATGGGCGCACCCACACTGGCGTCAAGCCTTATCAGTGCGAGGTCTGTTCCTCTAGATTTACGACGAGCTGTTCCCTGGCTAAGCACAAGCGCAAGCACACCGGCGAAAGGCCCTATGCCTGTGATCTATGTCCCATGCGCTTTACAGCTCTCAATGTTCTCAAGAATCACCGACGTACACACACGGGGGAACGTCCTTACGTTTGCCCCTTCTGCTCGAAAAGCTTTACGCAACGTGGCGACTGCCAGATGCATCAGCGAACTCATCAAGGCGACAAAATCTACATTTGCCCGGTGTGCAGCGAGGAGTTCAAAACGATGAACGATATGCGCACGCATCTAACAATGCACGAGCAGGATGACAAGCGCCTGGTCCACTTCACCCTGCTGAGTAACAAGGAGAACGGGAACGCGTCGACACTGGAAGAGGCTGATGAGGAAGAGTCGGATGCAACTGATTTACTGTAGGCTAGTTTTTTCACAAATGGATTTTTAAATAAGCTGGGGGTATTGCATAGACTAGAGCTGGTAAAGGCAAAAATTTAGCTGAAATACTCTCAATAGTTAGCAACAGGAGTTGTCAGGTTGAATCGATTGTATTTATCGATAATCCATTTGAAGGGTATGTAGAACATAAGTTTAATAAATATTCCCTTGCTATTGTTATATAGTGGGTGAAGATAAAAAGACAAATAAAATGCGATTATAATTCGAAGATCGCTTGGTGGACTAGTCTGTCACTAGAAAGTTAAGGCTTACTGTTCTTACTGTCGATCGATATTCGTGAAGTCGGAAATTATCAATAGTATTAGGGCTTACTGATATTGTCGATATTTATGCGGAGTATATACAATTGGGGCCTCGCAACGCATAAGCTAGACAATATGCGTAAGATTGTATTGTTTCGAAACATAAAACTGATATCTTATCGATACCTCGATTGTTTCCCAGTTCTATTGCAAAAAATGAAATAATTTTGTAGCATTCCTTAGTCTTTAATTTGTAGCTTACAACAGTAGTTATTAAAATGCTTATGATTCGATACATGAAGTTGGTCGCCTAATAGAATTGTCCGTACTGCGCTGCCGGTTGCTGCGGCGTTTGAATCGCTGATGTGGACGCCTCCGTCGTGGCAACAGCGACGGAAGGATTAAGTGATGTGTTGCTGGTGACAGGCGGATTGCCTTGAAACCAATTGACCAGTTCGTGGTGCGCACTCTGAACGCATTTTCGCTGATCAGCAATCAGGTTTTCTGAGTATTTCACATGGTTGGCATACGCCTCCTTCTCGTGTTGCGCATCTTTGGACATGCGATGCAGATCCTTCAGTATCGCCGAACCCCATAGCTGCACATGGATATCAGGTATTTTACTTGCCAATTGCATGGCTGGCGTTACCATATTCATACTCTCTTTGGAGTTGCCTATACTAAGGAAGACATGTGAGAGCAGCACCAGGGAGCAGCTGGTCAGGCGATTTAAATCCTCTGCATTGGCCATTTTTAACGTTTCACGCAAGAAGCGTCTGTATAAATAATTAGTTTATTGCATTATAAACGTTAAAATTATATCATTCTCTACTTACTTGGCCTCATGAAAGCTGTTCTTGTGGAAGGCGTGTAATCCCTGTACATAGTAAAATCCACCCATTAAGGCTTGACTGCTGTAAGTGTGCGTATTTTCCGTGGACACGGCGTCGAGTATTTGTTTGAGGTCAGCCTCCCGTTTTGTGCGCAGATAAATTATGGCCAGATTGAGATTGGCAAAGAGCTTGAGATCCCGCTCGGTCGTCTCGTTCACGCATACCAAAAACTGTCGTTCTGCGTGTTCAAAGAAGCTCGTTGACATGGAATACAAACCGATAAGGCAATGCAGCTGTGCCGAATGGCGCTTGAGGAGGTTCCGATGTGGCACAGCGAGGCACACATCGCGTGCAGCGGCTATCTCACGTATGGCCAGCTCGCGGTTACCCATGACCATACGGCACATCACGATGTGTTCCAACAGAATGACTTTAAATACGGATAATATGGATTTGTCCTCCTGAAGTTTCAGTTTTTCAATTTGTGTTAACGCCTTTTCCGTATACTTTTGCGCTTTATCCATATAGCCAGCCATCATTGAATGCGAAACAGTTACCAGATAGACAAGTACATAAAGCTGCTCCTTGGGAAGCCAGACAAACATCTCCAACTGATTGCCACCAAAGATCGACTCGTCACTTGGCCAATTAGGTGCCATAATCGTTTGTATAGACATTTGAAGTTGCTTTAAGCTGGGCTTCACAGTCTTCACCTGGCCAAGGGCCAGATAGTAACACACTTGTAGCACCAGGAAGAACACTTTCAGATACTCCTTTTGATGAGGATTAGGTATATTATTGTCAATGATTTGACCCGCTGAATTGAGCAAAGCCAGTACGTCGTTCGTTTTCCGTTCAATCATTAAGATCATGGCCCGTGAGAGCAAAAACAGCACTTTAAGGTATGTGGCGCCCGCCTCCTCAGCCGATTCGGCTCCAACAGCCAACAAATCACTGGCTAGCGAATACTCACGATCATTCGCATGGATTTGGGACAGTTGCAGTAAAAGCTTACAATGCCAATAAACATTGTTTTGTGATAGTTCGACGGCACGTCGCAGCATCGCCTTGGCATGTGAACCCTGCTCCGTTTTTAAATGCAGCTGGGCGAGTAGTGAGGCAGTATCAAATTTAACATCATCAAAATTCATAAGTGGCTCTGCGATGTTCCATGCTTGTTCCAAATGCCGACGCGCCAATTCTATGTTACACGTGTACGCCATTAGAACTTGTCCCATTTGCAGGTGTGTACGCGCCTCCACCTAAATAGAAGATGTCAATATCCATGATTTGGATATTTGTTGTATTTGTTATTGACTTTCACTTGTAGTACACTTACCTTTGAAGGCGGCTGAAAAGTGAAGAGCGCCTGTAAACATTGTATGCATTTTTTAATGTTTGGCGGCTGTGAGGTACGAAAGTATTCGGCGAGTCCAAGCAGCGATATATAACAGGCATCTTGTGAAGCTGCTGTTGTGTGTACAACACTCATTGCGTTTAATTGCTAGGAAATCGGCTTCGTTTTGTTTATCGCGTAATTTTGTTGTTGTTGCTACCGCTGCGTGGGTAATGTGGTTGTTAATCAGTGTTGATAAACATTGCGGCGCAATGTTGCTATGTACACCATCGATAAATTATTTTGTAAAAAATAAAAAATAAATCACAATTTGAAATTCGATAAGAATTGTTACATGCATACATCATATTTTAAGTTATTTAAGTTACGATCTATAAAATGAATTTTTAAGCTAATCCCAAAACTGAATATTAATCAAATCAACTTTATATAATATAAAAAATTAATTTTTTCTTCAGCACCTTTAAATAAAAGAAAATAGTTGCGCCAAATAAAAATACTAGAACCGTAGTACCTTTAATCAACAGTCAAAAGTGATATATGCTTCACTTAGCAATTGTGCCGCGAACACGATATCGAAATTTTGAAATTGTCAAATTTCATAAGTTAGTCTCCGTTATCTGAAATGAAATGATCATAAAAACTGAGTAATGCAATGTCTTCTATGCAAGTGGTTGTACGGTACGGTATTCCGATATCTTATTCATGACGCATCGATAGTTTCGCAATATTCTTGCTTCTCTAGCATTGTTGGCGTTCATCTTTTTTGCGACATTTTTATAAATTTTCGTGAAAATATGAAAATGGACATTGAGAAAAATGCAGAAGGGACTGGCGTTGAGCTCACAGATGCAGAAAATGAACTATATGATAGACAAATTCGACTTTGGGGCTTGGAATCCCAAAAAAGGTTAGTTTGCCGGTTAGCCGGCTATCTCCATTTTTTTTTAAATCAATTAAAAGTAATAAATGTTAAATAAACATAATTTTTTAGACTGCGCACAGCCAATATACTGATTTCTGGTCTGAATGGGCTTGGTGCTGAAATAACTAAGAATATCATTTTATCCGGTGTTAACTTGGTGAAATTGCATGATGACAAATTGGTCACCGAAGAAGATTTTTGCTCACAATTTTTGGCGGCACGTGAAGAATTAGGAAATAACCGCGCCGAAGCCTCATTAACGCGCGCTCGAGCTCTTAATCCCATGGTGGACATATCTGCGGATACGCAGCCATTGATCGAGAAGAATGCGGACTTTTTTGGTCAATTTGATGTTGTAGTTATTAACGGGGCAAACAACGAGGAACTGTTGCGAATTGATACAATCTGCCGGGAGTTGGGCGTTAAGTTTTTTGCCACTGATGTTTGGGGCATGTTTGGTTTTCATTATGCTGGTTTACAGAAACATAGCTACGTAGAGTAAGTGGTTTGAAGTCCACATAGAAAGACCTCTTTAATATTGTGTATTCATTATTTTTAGAAACGTTTTCAAGTACAAGGTAATATCGAAGCCAAATGAGAAGGTTAAATATGAAACGGTCTCCACACCAGTCCAACGCGAAGTCGAGTATCCAGCCTATTCCAATTGGCTGGATTTCAATATTAATGCCCCAAACTATCAACGCAAGTTGAAGCGCGATGGACCAGGCATCATACTGTTGCGCGTTTTGCAAAACTTTCGCAGCACACATAATCGCGATCCCAACTATAAGACCAGAGAAGCAGATATTGCTTTGCTGGAACAAATCCGAGACGAGCTTGTGCCAAACTCTGCACTGACCAGTGATGCACTTGGCTTACTTTTTGCACAAATATCGCCAGCAGTCGCTGTCGTTGGTGGCGTTGTAGCTCAGGAGATTATTAAAGTAGTGACTAAAATGGAAGCTCCTCATCGCAATTTATTTATATTCAATCCGGAAACTTGTATGGGTTATGTGGAAGCAATTGGTGTCAACTAATTGACGCCAATTTTATTGCATAAATAAAGTAAAACTTCATTCATAATTTATCTTAAAAAGTTAATTTTATACTCAAGATATTAAGACAACACTATCAAAGAGAACTTGCAACATCCTTGCAAACTCTTCTACACAGACTGATGAAACTCGTTTCTTTTTCTCTTTTATCATTAGAGAAAATTGGTAGTAAAACAATTGTTAAGTTTTGCATTATGCATGTTGGTTTAATACAAAAAGCAAATGGAAATAAAAGAAAACTTATCAATTTGTGAGAATTTCTGCAGCACGATTCTCCATAAGTTTTTCCATATTTGTAATCGCACCCATCCATGTGTCCAGTGTACTGGCCATTCCAACAATTTGCGTGCGGTCCAAAACACGTGGCTGCACCCAAGACATGTTCACTACCCCAGCCACTTGATCAATCTCGCCGCGCACCAGATCTAGAGCCAGAGCCTTCATGATCAAAAACTCAACCTCTTTGGGTGGCAGCTTTGTTTCATTGGCGATGTCAGCAAAGGAAATTGCACGCTCAATGGCCGAACGTTTAAAAGTCATCTCCATAAGGCAGAGCAATGAAATCTTTTGGCGCAGTTTAACCTCCTGCGCAGCCAAATCGGGAATTTTCGACCAAATATTTTTCATTTCATTAAATCTATTTGAAATGACAAATACAAATTTAATTTAAAATTATTAAATAACTTAGGAGCACTCACTTATTAATATCGCCCATGTTGAATGCCTTTAGTAACTCGACCAGCCATTCGTTTTCCGTATTTTGAAGTGATTCCAAAATGGGATGCGCCAATAGCTCGCCAATGTTATAGACGCCATCGCCTAATAGAGCGGCCAGCCCCAAAAAGAAAGCTTGTTGCGCCCATTGATCGCGAGGGTAGTCGTCCAGCGAACAGCCCAGGAACTGCAAGCCACAACGATAATATTCACTGTGCTTGCCCACACGACGATAATATTGGGAGGCAAGCATATAGTATTTGCCATGCACGGGAGTAACATTGCCTGCTTCTTCGAGAACATCACGCAGTTCTTCAATGATTTTCTTGGTGGCAGTAAGATCGTTCAGATTGCTGAGATATAAGTTGCCTTGCATGACTTGCAGATACCAGACAGCTTCATCACATATTTTAACTTTATCCTTCATTTTTTCCAAAAAGTCGATTGCCTCCTTTTTGTCACTGATATTATCCACGACTACCTCAAGTATTTGAATCAGACCATAGGGATTTATTCTGCAATTATATATCATATTTACCAAGCCTTGATTAATTCGGGTTTAACTTACTTTGTTTCAAAGGTAGAGATAAAATTTTGGTACAGCTGCAGTAGAGCGCTCTCGTCCTGCAGAGTTTCATGGCGCACAAATGCAACTAGCTTAATCGTAAGCTCGTTCCATAGCCTGAAAAAAAAACAAAATATTATATATAATTAAAAAAAAAATTAAAAACGCTTACTTTTCATTGTGCAGCTCTTCAATTAGAGTCCATTCGGCAGCGAGCTCTTTGTTTGTTGTTTTCTTTTGTGCTGCCAAGTATGCAGTAACTGTCGCTTGCGTATTCGACATTGTTGCTATATCCTGAGCTGAGCTATGTTCTGAATATATATTTAATTTAATTTTGTATAAAAATATGCGCGTATGAAGTAGGCAATGTGAAATTGCAAATCACAATTAGAGATGCCTAAAATATCGATATAATATCAATATCGATTACTTGCGAACGTGATATTGTAAAAGTAAAATATCTGATTTACATTGAAATGTGCCTTAATTTTAATAAATGAATAAATTTGTAAGTTTTCATGCACACCAGATCAGAAAATTGATGTGCTCTCAAAATATTTCCACAGTACAAGGTATCGTACATACTCCACTTACAATAGCAAAGACATAAACCATTAAAGTGGTGGCACTAACAAAGCAACTGTTATGCACTGAACTGGCAACGCTCAACTTTAAAAAGATGAAATCACTTATCAAATTGTAAATAAAAATAAATGCCTAGCAGCGATCTTCGATATTTTTATGTAACGTTCGTTTAAAGGAAGAATCAAATTTTATATATTACGATTGCGAGAAACTTAGAATTTTCGATGCAATGTTATAAGCAGAGACTGTTAATCTAATTGCCACTGTTAAGCTGTTCATTGTTAACAGAACGAACAGCTGTTGGGCACTGCGTGGGGAGTTCAGTTCAATGAGAACAGCTGAGCGTGAAAGTCGTGGTGCACGGAAAAAATATAATCGTATTTCCAAACATTTATAAACGTGAACGATAAAGGATATAACACGTCAGATAGTTTAAATTCAGCTTAACCGCAAGTACTTCCAACTCAACTAGTGCAAATCCGTGCAGTTCTATTTTAACAATCAAATCTCATGCGCACCTAGTAATAACTACAAAGAGCACCCGTATCTAAAAAAGGAAAAAAACGAAAAGAAAAGAAAAGTAACACTCTGATTGTTTAAACAAAATAGAAAACGAAATTGTCTGCACTAGCAATAGCATGTTAATGATTGTGTGATTGTTATATAAATGTTAAAAATTTATTAACTACATTTCACACACACTCGAACCATTATGTGGATTTGTTTGCAAAGTGTTCAAATAAATAAAACTTATACGCATAACTCAATAGATTTTGTGCTTTAAATACGAAAAAAGACGTGCTCCACAATATAAACTGGAAATAAAACTCTTAACTAGTTGCTAGCTAGTTTGTGGTGTGTGTGTTTTGCCAATCGGCAAACACCAGCGTTTCATCTTGAAAGCGAAATAAGCGGCTTCATTTGCATTTGTTTTGTCCGTGACCAATCATCAGATACAAAACACATCGAAGTGTTCAGCCACCCAGCAACAGAAAGCATCTATATTGAATATATCAAAAGCGAGGTTAGTTCTCTTTACCATATGTTTAGTTATAGATCTGTTAGCAATTGTGCGTACTGTCGCGTTGCAGTGGAATCTTATCAATTGGCTAATCTTTGGCCGAGCAGCAAACTATTATGCAACTGTCCAATCCAATTCCATTCAATTGTTTACGCCACTTATCGTGGCGCTTGCCTGCCCCATTATGTTGCGGGCGCAACATGTGCACCGCATGTTCCGTTCAGCGTCCCTATTGCCTATTGCCCATGCTTATTGTAAGTGCATTTCCTGGCCGCACTTGAGGCAGTCGAGGACGCACATTTCTATTGTCTACCATCGACGAAAATGATTTTGTTACAAGGGGGAACGAGAGGGTGAGAGCGGTATGTTGTATCCTGTTGCGCTCTTAACTTTTCCCATTTCCTGCAACTGTCGAACTGGTGCTCGAAAGTCTCTGCCACTTTTTCAAAATCATTGTCAGCGCAGTTGATATTTCCTTGGCCAGGCCCCTGCTAAAGTACCCTAGCCCAAGTAGGCTATGCGTTCGCCAAATTGAAACGTGCGACATCTGGCGTAGACGGGCGGAACTGCCCGCCTGTCTGCCTGCTTCGAATTCAGTTTACAGTTATGTGAAGAGCGGCAATTACAAATATCCAAATAAAAAGAAAAGAAAAAACAACACAAATATGAAAAATAAATAAATAAAAATACAACAATATTGTACAAGTGTGACATGTCTTTGTTTCATGATTAACTAATAAATACTCTATATTTCGAGTGAATAATACAATTTTTAAATTGATTTCATTTATATAAACTTACTTTAGGCCAAAACGCTAATATAATTTAACGCTCACTAAATGATTTATAATTCGTTAATAATGTCTGTATAAGTACATTTAAAAATCCGAACAGTTTTTAACAAAAATTTACTTAGTTTTATATTTAAATTGAATATTTAATGACATCGAAATTGTAATTAAATTAAGTTTTTATTATTTTTTTAATTAATTGTTTTATAATAATAGTTAATTTTTTTAAAATAAACTTAATATATTCTTCTAACAATCCCAAAGTTTTAAACAATATCGGGTTTCAAATTAAATAGCTTATGAAAATGATTCCCAATTGTTTTTACGGAAATTCCACATAATATATCTACGAATTTTACGAACTAGTTGCACTTCACACAGGGTATAAATGAAAAAAATACATTCCTAAAGTGCAATTTGCTTTGCGTTGCCATCGAATGTTGACTGCTCTTGTTTTTCTGTTGTCTGTTACACTGGCTATTAAAAGCAAAAGTGAAAAATTCCATAGAGACGCTGGCGGCATCAACTGTAACGGCAACTGCAACGCCAACCGCAACAGCAACTGCAACTGCAGCAAGAGCTACTCCAACAACGGCAACAACTCTGTCAAGTGCGTTGTCGCTTCCTCTTTGGGTGCGTTATGTGGCCAACCAACTGAATATACATAAGGGTGTGCATGAGTGTATGAGTGTGTGTCAATGTGGCTGCCTGTGTGTGTGTACGTGCGTGTAAGTGTGATTCAATTACAGGCCAATCCAGTCCAAGTTGAGGAGTTGTCTGTGCCAGGCCCAAGCCTCAATTCGATGCTCGGCGCGTATATATTGCGAAAGAGTTTTTCAGCCGGAGACTTGGCCAAAGTCAAGCCGCATGCCTCATAACTATACGCACACACACACACTTGCACGGCTGTGTATGTATTTACATTGATTCGAATTCCATTGGCGGCGATTTCATAATCGCTTACGCCGCTTCCCTCGTTTTACTTAATTTTTTTACGTATTTTGTTGCTTCTTCAGCTGACTTTTTTTATTTTTAAATATATACATATATTATATATTTACATATATACGTATATGTATATAGCTTGGTAGCATTTTTATGTGAGTGTTTAGCTTTTGATTTTTTGGGACTGCTTTAAGTTTGAGCAACAACAACAATGGCAACACACGAAACAAAAAAAAAAGTTGTTTCAATGTTGGTAACTTTCTCCTCAACCACCTGCCAAAACCGCAGAGCGCTCAGCTAGCGCTGTCAGTAACAACTGTTTTTATGTATATGTATAGATGTGTGTACGTGTGTGTGTGCGTGTGTGTATGTATGTGTGAGTGTTTCCATTTGTCATGTTGTTGTATTTGATATGCGCGCTATGCGTGCCAGTTGATTGCGCGATTAGCAAAGCCCGCATTCAAAACGCGTGCGCGCGAATTTCGAACTCAAGCTGCAATTTCATAATCTTCATTCGCATCATCAGCGACAGCGACATCATCATCATCCTCTTCATTATCATCATCATATACGCAGTTAGCTAGCTGAGTCAAACTGTATGTGCTAATTGAATCGATTCCCATCAGACAAGAAATCTCTCAAAGCGAACAGGTAAAAACCAGGTAACTTCCTCGTCCAGCAGCTAACTAAGACCAAGGCGAAGGCCAGTTCAGTCCATAGGCTGACTGTGGTTATAAAATCAAGTGACAAAGTAAATTTCAAGTAGTCTTCCATGTGAATTTCCATCGTTATCTCAAAATGATAGTCCTCTTATTTAGGCCTAATTAAAATCTAATATATATGACTAAATAAATGAAAGTGTTATGACCAAAGTCTGTTTTCCTGTAACTGACTAAAATCGATTTCAAATCGACTTAAGACTTAATTGTAGCCCTGCTTTAAAGAACTTTCTTCGAGAAGAGGAAAAATTGAATTGAAGATAACTTGATTTTTTCCAGTGTATCCATTTGTGGGTGGCCATAAAAAAATTGCAATTAAATTGTTGTTCGATCAAATCAGTTCAATGGCAAAGCCAGTGCCAGAAGAGGCAGCACTCAAGATGCCTTTGTAATGCAAATATAAACACGACTGTGCCAGGCCTAAACAACAGCAGCACACACACACACACGTTTTAGCCATAAACATATTAAATTTTATGATTATTAGAGCCGCAACGTCTGCTGAGCAACTTATGCAAATCTCTGATTAAAGATAAGCGCGCCTCGTGGCAGCTTTTCCTAGTGCTGCTCCAGCTCCATGTGAAAGAGGTCGGCAGTACGCATTGGAAAACCAGTTGCTTTCAATTTTTTCATGTTCAGGGTTCACCAGGTGTCTTCAACTTCAATTGTTGGTGGGCAGGTATTTGCTCAGTTGCCTCAACCTCAAAGCATTTTATACGCCGTGCAATTGGCACTCCAAATAGCTGATGACCGCCATGCATGCTGATGACTCTTAATGGCTTTTGGGTACGACATCAAAAACTATCACACGAACAACAACGCAACATTCCGCACCCAAAAAAACACAGCAACAACAACAACAACAACAACTAAATGCAACTGAAAACGAGCGCGTTTTAGATTTTTTGTATTGGCGTAAGGCATATGGCATAATCAAGTTTGCAGCTCAAGTGGCTTTTACTTGCACCACCAGACTGGGCCACGCACCACTGAGGAGCAGTCACTGTAGCTCCCACTTCCCATTCATCGTGTCTGCTAGTGGGGCTGCCAAGTTGTCTATGTCACATGCTTTTGCCTCATGTTTTATTGCCACCGTCACAGCGGTTCATGTTGTTATTTGCATTGGCCAAACAGCGGTCGCTGCACAGTGCACAGTGGGGCAAACCTCATACGAGAAAATATAATACTTAAATGTTATATATCAAATGCTTGGTTCGAGAATTTCACATTATTAAATGTGTATTTCAATAGCAGCTCTTCCTCTCACGCTTTACTACACAAAATATAGAGTTTGGTTTCACTGTAGTTAGCTGCTGTTGTCTGCCAAGTGAATGCAATGAGCGGCACAAATATTGAAATACACACAAGATGGAAGATGAGAAAAGAAAAAAA